CACAAAATGAGGGTGATTCCCCTCTTAGACAGTTGTTCCCAGAACAGTGGTCCCCATTGGAAGGTTTTATCATACCTTTTGTTTGTTATTTTCCTCACCTAATTATTCAGGACAAATAAAGGGATGAATTTCCCCAATGGGAAGAAGACAAAAACAAATATTTGAGTGTCTAACCCTTCCCCACAACACATTTTGCCTAGTGATACACTTTAACTGTCTAGGTTAATATTGTTTTTCAATGTTTTTTTTTTTGTAGCGAGCAGGGATCTCTGATTGCTCCTGTATTCAATTGTATTGTAACTGTACTGTTTGTTCTCACATTGTAAAGTGCTGCACAAACTGTTGTTGCTATATAAATCCTGTATAATAATAATAATAAATAGCCATCATGTATACATTGTGAAAATTGTTAGTATGGTATAAAAAATGTGACTGCTTCATGAAAGTTCATCCATCTTATTTCTTGTATACTATTTTATAATCCTAAAACAATCAATCAGATTTAAGATGCAGTTATTGATCATTTCAATTGTATAGTTTTGTACCAACTTGGGTTTAACCACTTGCTGCCCGGCCTATGGTCAAATGACGGCCGGGCGAACACTTCGTCCCTCTGAGAGGGCATCACAAGATGTCCTTCCCAGATCGTGCTTTGCTCATGCCCGCAGGGCTGTGCTGTGGCGAGATCTGTCACTGGCCATGTACCTCGGACTTTGTCCTAGATTGTAAGCTCCAAGGAGCAGGGCCCTCGAACCCCTCGTGTATTGTATTGTTATTGTACTGTTTCATGTATTGTATCCCATTGTAATGTACAGCACTGAGCGAACTATTGGCGCTATATAAATACTGTGTAATAATAATAATAATCTATATACCGGCCCTGTTGCCAGTACCAAGTGACCTGCTGTGACCAATCACAGCAGGTCACATGATAGTTGTATACAATGGATGGCTTCCTTTCATGCCATCCATTGTATACAACTGTGTCTAGCTGTGAATAGTCACAGCAATCACATGCACAGGCTAGGCCAATCACAGCCCATCTGTGTCATGTGATTAGCGGTGGCCAATCACAGCTAATCACAACCAAAAATACTTCATTCATTCAGTTAAGTGCTTGCTTATAGCAAAGACATAATTTGCTATAAGCAATCAAATTGTGTAAAAAAAATATATACTGATCACTTCCCCAAAGTAGTACAATGACAAAGGTCACAGTGCAATATGAAAAAAAATCTTAAAAAAGAGAAAAAATGTAATAAAAAATAAAACATATAATAAAAAAATTGAAATTATATATATATATTTTTTTTCATACTGTCACCAGACAGTGTCCCTGATCACCGCCACACCAGTTATATGATGACACTGTACTGCACTGGTGACAGTATGTAAAAAAAAAATTGTGAAAATTATTTTTTAAATTTCTTAATTTTTCGAAAAATTATGACAAAAACTTACAACTTCAAAAAACTCTCCATGCCTCTCATGAAATATGTCGGACTGTCTACTTGCAAGAAGGGGTCATTTGGGGGATATCTGTACTGTTCTGACATTTTTGGGTCTCAAGAAATTAGCCTGGCCGTCAGTACTTCAGGATTGATCAAGTTTCAGATATATCCCATAGTTTGTGAACTCTATAACTTTCCTACAGACTAAATAATAAATACTGATTTGGGTTATTTTCACCAAAGAAATGTAGCAGAATACATCTTGGCCTAAATTTATGAAGCACAATTATTGATGTGCAAACCTTTATAACAGAAACACAAGAAAAACTTGTTTTTTTTTTCAAACTTTTCTTGTTAACTTAACAAAAAATAAAAACCCCAGTGGTGATTCAATACCACCAAAAGAAAGCGCTAGTTGTGTGCAGGGGCGGACTGACCATTTGGAAACTTGGGCACTGCCTGAGGGCCCAGGGTCAGTAGGGGGCCCCATGAGATGCCCCTGGTACCTTTTTCATAGGCTTTTTTGAGTTTGGGCAAGGACACAGGGGCCCCATGATCCCCTATTGCCCAGGGGCCCCATGAGTTGTCAGTTCGCCCCTGGTTGTGTGAACAAAATGATAAAATTTTAGTTTGGGTACAGTGTTGCATGACCGCGCAATTGTCATTCAACGTGTGAGAGCGCTGAAACCTGAAAATTGGCCTGGGCAGGAGGGGGGTAAAAGTGCCCGGTATTGAAGTGGTTAAGGTATAGGACAGGAAGTTGTGTTATTTCTAGGCTTAGTTAATAAACAGCGCAAGAAACAACACAACAATTGCTGAAAAGTACAATAAACTATAGCAATGGAATTCACATAACTAAAATCAGGCCAGAAGTTGTTGCTAGGGGGAACTGCTATTTGCACTGATTGCTTTACTCCTTTTATGGTGTTATTGAATGATTCCAATATGTTTTAATTCCAAAACCACCAACATGTAGCATACATAACATCTATAAAGAATGCTTTCACTTATACTGATAAGCTAGACTTTATTCTAATATTACTTCTCTAAGAGTTTTGATATTACAGATCAGGCTGCTAGAAGATGCGAGGGTTGCCTTTGTCAGCCTGCATCTAACTGTAGTTATAGGAGAGGTAGCGCTAAAGTCTGCTGTCAGTTGACGTCATAAAACCAGGCCAGGCTTTGGAAAGCTCCTGACTTTAAAGTGGTTCTAAAGGCTCAAGATTTTTTACCTTTTCTACCTTCTCTGTGCAGCATCCCCCAGCCCCCCCCCCCCAGTACTCACCTAATCCCCCTCTTGATCCAGCTATGTTTGCTGAGGTTTTGGCTATCCTGAGACTCCCTCTTCTCATTGGCTGAGACAGAAGCAGGAGCCAGTGAGCCAATGAGAAGAGAGGGGGTTGGGCCAAGCCACAGTTCTGTGGGTGAATGGACATACAGAGCAGCGGGTGTCCCCATAGCAAAATGCTTGTTGTGGGGGCACCCAACAAGACGGAGGGATTAGGAGAGCGAGGAGGATCCAGGCTGCTCTGTGCAAAACCACTGCACACAGCAGGTAGGTATAGACATGTTTTTTTTTTCTATAAAAAAAAATAAGCCTTTAGAATCACTTTAACCTCTTCACTCCAAGTGCACGCAAATGTGCGGCCTCTTGGAGTCTGGGCCTTGATGCCAAGCGGCTGCACATTTGCGTGCAATTAAAAAAAAACATGCGTGCCCTGCGCGCTCCCAGCACATATGTCCGGTACTCACAGAAAGGTCCTGATCTCCCCTTGCGATCGGGACCTTTCCTGATCATGTGACCACCGTGACAGCGAATCACGGCAGCCACATGACCCTAAAACCCCGCCGCCTCCTGGCTTCTGAAACCCTTAAAGGGCCGGGAGGTGCCGGCGCCAAGGGCTTACAGTTGGGATCCACCTAGATGCCTGGACTGGCAGCTAGCTCAGCCACTCAGTGAGCTGTTGAGAGCCTGAGCAAGCCTTCCCCTTCAAATCTATAGTCAAAGCTAGAGGGGCAGAGCAGAGAGTTGGTGATGAAAAGTCATTAGCTCTCTGTTCAGTGAAGACCGAGAAGTGAAGGATCAGTGGTCTTTGATTGCTCAGTTCTTGGTCTTAGAGGCAGTGGGGGACAGATGCAGCGTCGGACCATCTAGGTGAGTATGGATTTTTTCTTTTTAATTCCTCAACTTCTATTTTAATATCTAACTACATAGATTGAAGGAGCACAAAACTGTAGCTAGTAAGCTGCCCTTTCTTGACCATTGTTTATATGTTGCAGATTCTGGTGTGTAGGTGTGTGTGTATATCTGTGTGTGCATGTGCCTGTGTGTGCGTGTGTGCAGATAGTGGTGACTCTTGAGTGGGCAGTAGTATGTTCAACCTAAAACTGGCCATACACTAGTAGAATTAGGTTCGAAAAGTTTCATTTTAAGAATGTCCATTCACTTTTCTAATTGCTAGTGGAGTCAAATTGGCATTCAGTTTTGACTGCAGTGACAAGAAAATTCAGAAGGAGCAGGATGGAAAATTTTCTGGAAGGAAAGAATTATTAACAGCATATGTGGTTTTCATTCAGGAAAATCCTTTTGTTCCAAAATGTTAAAAAGAAACAAAAACTCAAAATACTTTTACCCGACATTCTTAACCACTTGTCTACAGGGCACTTTCACCCCTTTCCTACCCAGGCCAATGTTCAGCTTTCAGCGCTCTCGCACTTTGAATGACAGTTGCGCGGTCATGCAACACTGTACTTAAACCAAAGTTTTATCTTTTTTAAGACGGATAGAGATTTCATTTGGTGGTATTTAATCACCACTGTTTTTTTATTTTTTGCTAAACAAAACTAAAAAAGTCAAAACTTTGAAAAAAAAGTTTTTCTTACTTTCTGTTATAAAATTTTGTAAATAAGTAATTTTTCTCCTTCACTGCTGTGTGCTTATGAGGCTGTGCTGATGAGGCTGCACTGAAAGGTGGCACTGATGGGAACTGATAGGTGACTGATAGATAGCCTAATAGATGGCACCGTTAGGCAGCCCTGATGGGTACTGGCAAGCATCACTGATGGGCACTGAAAGGCAGCGCTGATGGGCACTGATAGGTGGCACTGATAGGTTGCACTGATGGAAACTGGTAGGCGGCACTGCTTGGCACTGATAGCCTGCACTGACTGGCACTGCTTGGCACTGATAGGTGGCACTGACTAGTACTAATAGGTTGCACTTATTGGCATTGATAGGTGGCACTGATGGGTACTGATAAACTGCACTGATGAGGAGGCACTGATGGGAATTGACAGGCATCACTGATGGGCACTGAAAGGCAGCACTGATATGTGACACTTATGGGCACTGATAGGTGACACTAATGGTTACTGATAGGTGGCACTTATGGGCACTGATAGGTGGCACTTATGTGCACTGGTAGACAGCACTGACTGGCACTGAGAGGTGGCACTGATTGACACTGATAGTTGGCAGTGATGGGCACTGATAGGTGGCACTTATGGGCACTGATAGGCAGCACTGATGGGCATTGACAGGCATCACTAATGGACACTGAAAGGCAGCTCTGATGGGCACTGATATGTGGCATTAATGGGCACTGATTGGCAGCAATGATGGCCACTGAAAGGCAGCACTGATGGGGCTGTACTGATAATCAGGGCACTGATGATTAGTGCCCTGATTACCAGTGTAGATACCCCCATGAGGAGAGGACTGACAATAACCAGCATTTCTTGTTTACATGTGATCAGCTGTGATTGGTGATCAGCTGATCACATGGTAAAGCCTACATCATCGGCTCTGTGCCGCGATCGGTGATCCGCTGTATCCAAGGGACACAGCGTGCCCCAAATCGCTGTGCGCCCCTGGGGGCGTGCATGCGCAGCTAGAGTGGGAGGACATCATATGATGTCCTCACAGGACACGAGAGCTCCTGCCCATCTGTCATTTACCTATACGGCGGGCGGGAGGCGATTAAGATCATTAAATGTCCAGACACTTTTTGTGCAAACGGTTATACAAACAATCATTTGAACATGTATTAGTGCATAACTAGCTTTGGTGCTCATTTAGTGCACCAATAATCTGTCCATTTAACCTCATTTTCATGGTAAAGTAGTTATAAATAGTTAGCCCATGTGCTAGCAGTACTAAAGAGTTAAAATAAGAGAAGAGAGTGCTCCGAAATGATAGGTTCTGGTATTTTTCTTTCTATAACTCTGGCCCACTTGTCTGTATGGTTAGTATGTAAAATTGTGCTGCTTTCTGCTTGTTCAGAGAGCTTGGAATATGCATGTCTGTGGATGCAGGGTACAGTCTGTATCTTGATTGCGCTCAGCAGGGATCCCTCCTCGGTGATGAGAGAAGATGGGAGGGTGGGGGTAGAACAAACACACAGATACAAGCTGTCTATTCCTCTCATTGTTTTTTGCTTGGCCATATGCAGGCAGTGGGAGGGAGATATGAAGAATCCCAGACTGCTCCCAAATTTGTAAAAGCTTTGTACAGAGCAATACACAGAACAGCAGGAAAGTTACTGCGATGAGATGAGAAAGCCTTGCTTATAAAGTGTGATTTCTTTATACTGCAGCATGGATCTAAATGTAGACTGTATGTATACTGTATCTATAGAAGTTAACAGTATCTGTGGAAGGTAACACAAAACTCACAGCAGAAACTGAAGGTGTGTGTAGAGCTGTAACCTGCTTTTTTTTTAAGTTGACTGAAAACTGACCAAGAAACATATTATGCAGGCAATGATGCTGGTGGAAGGATTAGCAGAACAAGGACGGAGGTCCTGGTGCTTTTCTATTTGATTACATAGTCATTTAATGCATAAGAAAATCATGTATATGTTTAAAATGTTTACACATTCTAGTCGAGTCCATATCTAGTCCAACTAAAAATTTACATTCACAGTGCATAATATATTCAAACTTCCGAAAATGATGCATAGGGGCACCGATATATGAAAGGTCCCTATAGATGGAGTATAATATAATAACGCTGAACAAGTGAGTGCCTCTACATCAGTAAATACTGGACTGTTCTGCACTCTCTCTGCTGTACAAAAAAAAATTGGTGTAATAAGTTGCTTTCAGAAACACTGTTAAAATAAAGTTTATTCTGTTGTACTGGGACATGAGTCTTAAAAAAGCACCATGTCTTCTGTTGATAGGTGGAGGCAGCAGCTGTATATGCAACCATGCCTACATTTCACACACTGGACCCCCATCAGTTCATGATTTGTGCTGTGAAAAGTGAGTATAATTAACAGGAGACCTGTAATTATCTGTGCTGTGGTTGGAGTGATGACATCAAGTGATGACAAAATTGCTAGGGAACCTGAACATTTGATTCCACTAGAATCTAATAGGTTTGAACTATGGATGAAGGGATCCCTTAAGCACGTATATAATGGAACTGATCATTCAGAGACAATCAGAGTCTTGTGGGAGCATTTTACCTTCTATGCACATATGCGGACAAATTCTTAAATGCTGTCTATAGGCAGGGTCTGATTTGAAGGTTGCATTTACAATATCATCTTGGGTACAACCAAAGTGGCACTGTGCAGTCAATGAGTATGAGTGTCAGCAGTTAAATACATTGACATAGGAAATAAAAAAGCAAAAATGAAAAAAGAAGGTAAACACATCTAATCATTAATGTGGACTTGAGTGCTAGACGTCGTTTTCTAACTGGTCCGAGCACCCCTGAATATGGTGATAGAGGTACAAGGCTCAAAGAAGCATGGGTGTCGGTAGCTAAGTAGCAGGTGACTGCCAGGGTCAGAGGTGTAGTTAAGGTGAGCCGGGGTCATAGATGGCAAGGCAGAGGCATGGTCAGTACTAGGGAAGCAAGCAGAGTGAGGTCCAGAAGTAGGATAAGGTCAGTACCAGGGAAGGTAAGGAATAGCTAGATCCTACAGTCTTCAATGTAGAGGACAATGTGCATGTAGTAACTCCCAAATCTCACGATAAATCACTATCGTGCCTTTGGTTTCACACTTCAGATACACAGCAATCAGGCTTTACCCACATAATTTTCTAGAATTTCTAGATGCTAGAAATGAAAAGTGTACCTGAGCTCATAAGTGAAGGTTTGCTTTGTTATAGGGAAGAATGAGAACTTGACTTGAATGAGAACTTAAAGAATGAAAATGAGTGCCGGTTCACATATATGCTGATTGGATGCGGTTTGAACCACATCTAATCTGCATGACATGTGAAATAACATTGCTTCCTATGGTGCCTGTTCACATATGTCTGGTGCACTGGCAGTGCGCATTCAGTGTGGATTGAAAAAGAGTCCTGTACGATTTCTAAACAGTGCGGTCTGGTTTCAGGTGTGGATTACAGGCTATTGACTTCTATGGGAATCTTGCTAGAGGCTCTGACATAAGTAAATTAAGCCCTGCATCCTCCCTGATGGTCAACTCCACACAGAGACAAAGAGGTTGATTTACCAAAGGCAAGAAATTTTCACTTTTCTAATGGACGTTACCTTTAGCTTAGTGAATAAGGAGAACCTTTGCTGACTTCCGTCATCCAATCCGTTGCAAAGCAAAGTACTGTTTTGTTTTTTTTTTATTTCGAAAAGATCAGCTTCAAGGAGCCTAAAGATATTTCTGACTAGTTCTTTGTCCATTGCTTGTGTTTTTGGACACAAGGCTTTATTATTAAAATTCAAAAATAACAAAATAATAGAATATAATTTGGGACATTGCTTGTTCTTATTTGATCATTTCCATTTTTCAGACCAATAAAGTTTAAACCAGGTACATTTAAGTGAATTGTCATGTATGTACAGTATATATGAAATAACCAGCTAAGATGATGTGGCTGTGTGCTTTAAAAAATGGGATTAGCACTAGTCAGCTGTGGGTTAAACACAAGATTCTTTTCTTGGGGGGCTGAAAGTCTAATTCTGATATTTTATATATTGCAGTAAAGCATGGTGTTGTCTCCGCTGTTTTGTCATAGATTCATTGATTAAAGATAATCATCTATTTTCCAAGAAGTCAGGTTCCACCAACCCTAGTCTCCCCAGGTTTGTACGAACATTTGTAATCAAAAAACTTGCCTGTATAATGGAATGATCTCTGTTTATATGCACCTACAAGGCCTCTTGCACACTATTATTATTATTATACAGGATTTATATAGCGCCAACAGTTTGCTCAGCGCTTTACAATATATCGGGAGACAATACAGCAACAATACAGTTCAATACAAGAGGGATAAGAGGGCCCTGCTCCTCGGAGCTTACAATCTAGGAGGGAGGGGCTAGTGGTACAAAAGGTAGTAACTGTGGGGGATGGACTGGTTGGAAGAGTAGAAGATTCCAGTATTAGCTGAGGGCAGGATAGGCTTCCCTGAAGAGACAGGTTTTCAGAGATCCCCTAAAAGTGAGCAGAGTAGGCGATAGTCTGATAGATTGTATGATCTGATTAAGAACCTAAAATACTTTTTTTTTTTGGTTTGAGTCAAAATATTAGTTCTTATCAACAAATGGATCTAGCTTTTTGCCAATTATTTCATGAAATGGCTTAGTTACAGCAACTGAAGTGTACGAACTTTAAAAACAAAAAATTGATTCTTTTGGCGTTCCGTAATCTTATGGTCCTCAAAGGGTTATTGTTAGTGTTTTGAATTTTAGCCTTTGGGCAACGGGAAGCCAGTGGAGGGATTGGCAGAGAGGGATGGCAGATACAGAACGGTTAGTAAGGTGGATGATTCTGGCAACAGCATTTATGATAGACTGAAGAGGGGATAGCCTGCGATGAAGTAGGCCAATGAGGAGAGAGTTACAACAGTCAAGGCGAGATATAACAAGGGAGTGTATAAGTTGCTTAGTGGTTTCCGAGGTTAGGAACGTGCACATGGTACTGATGTTTGAGGATCAGCATCTTTGGACATAATTTGGACATAATGTTAGGCATTAGTTTTTATATATTTGCACGTATATGCATGCACATTCTCACGCACAATATATTCCTAGGCAAAATCCATTGATATTTATGCTCATATGTGCGTATTTTGTGCTCAAATTTGCATGCACATGTGCAAATTACTGAAAAGGAACACACGTTTTTCTATATTTTTTTAATCAAGAATGCATAGTGCATGTTTACGTACCTGTGTGTACAGACACATTGTAAACAATGGGCTGCATTTTAGATCAGTAAAAATAAAAAACGCTGTACTGAGCTTTTCCAAGCTGCAGTGTGCAAGAGGCTTTACAGTTTTCCTATGCACTCTACCCATGAGCAGTTTTTATGAATGAAGTACTGACTGTGTTGCCATATAACATACCTTAATTAAAGTAGCTTTCCCAAGGTATTGTCCTTTACATTTTTTCCAACTGTCATATTGTGATTAAACATATCAGGGACAATAAGACACATGTCATTTATGTGTCATTTTAAAGATTTTAATTACATGGTTTGCACATCTATACAACCAAATACTTGTTTGTGGCTGTAGACATGCATAGCCTTCCAGTTATATAGCAGATGTAAACAACTGTATAAATCATATCTGTTTTTTTCCAAGGGTCTGCTCTATATTACTCATTAAAGCATGAGGCACCCAAAGTCAAAATGTTGTTT